GGTTGTAAATATAAATGCATCGTTGCAAACATCATACGGTTACTTTATTTTAGAACTATACAAATTAGCCTGTTCTATTGTGTGAAATGTGGAAAGGAAATCTGCGGACAAGGCATTGCCACCTTGACCCTGTTCAGGGCCTCCCAAGTTGAGAGAATCATCGTTTTCGTCCTTAGAATCACTGTCGTCAATATCATAGTCGACTGGGGGAAAAGAAATGCAAGAATCCTCCAATTCAAAGTTATCTTCACTATCCGTATCTGCAAAGATCTGGTCCATAGCTTCGTCGACATTGTACCGTCTGTTTTGAGGCCGTGCACCCGCCATTTTGCGCCTAACCACTTGAAAACACTTTTTTCCGATAAAAGGTTAATTATAGTTCATAGAAAAAAACTATAGAGGGCGCAGAACCTCTTCCTGATTTTTAACAATATTTTTTCTGCATACCCGGTAGTACCGGGTACGCGCAATTCAACAATATGTGTTTATACCCGGTATTACCGGGTACACGCAGTGAAAGGGCTAAGACAACATTCTGATTATATAAGATTCTATATAAATATCTGTTACAATAATTTTCATTATTGAATGTTTTATTATTAAATAGTATTACTAATTTTATTATCGTTACAATACCATAATGATTCCTATTTAAGCTTGTATTATTACTATTATACTTATTTTTATTATGTTACTAAGTTCAAAATTCTGATTATATAAGATTGTATATTAATATTACAATAAATTTTCAATATTGAATATTATTTTATTAATATTAATAATAATGTATTCAAACAATAACTTAGTTGGATAAGACCTAGTAAGATATTTAATTTTTTTAAATACTTTTTTTAGGAGTTCTGCGAGTCTCAATGAAAACTTTGTAAAGATTAATTTAAAGAAGAAAGTTTACACCCGAGGCACCAATAAAATGACAGGACCGGCCTACAAACGCCAGCAATGGAAGATAAAGACGGGTCAAACATCAGGGAAGTCGTACAGTAAAAGCGGCGGTGGTGGTGGGGGAGGTGGTTGGCGCAAACCAGGCACATGCTTTAAATGTGGTCTGGAAGGCCACTGGGCCAAGTTCTGCAAAGGAAAACGTAAGAATTTGCAAATTGTTGTTATGTTTAGGTACATATAACTTAACTTTATTTAAATATTTTATTTTATATATGTATGTGTATGTGTAAAATATATATATATATATATATATATATATATATATGTATGATATTCAAACATATACATGGACATTTGTTAAATAGCTACAGGGTAACCTACGATGTTCCATCATGTCCTTATCTAAACACTGCATATGTACCTTTGATTGTTTATTTATATTGTATGTATATATATGTGTGTATATGTTGGTTTGTGTGTATGTGTGTGTGTGCATATATGTATGTGTGTGTGTGCATATATGTATGTGTGTACGTATGTGTGTGTGTGTTCGTGTGTGTGTGTGTATTTATATGTATGTATGGGGGTGTGTGTGTGTATATGTATATATATATATATGTATATATATGTATATATATATATATATGTATATATATATATAAATATATATATATGTATATGTATATAAAATGTAGGTCTACCTGATATGCGTTTATTATTAGTTTTTACTTTTTGTTTTGTCGGGGTCAAATTGAGACTAAGCTTCGTTACTATTTTTGATCCTAATTAATTAATTTTAATGTTGTCCACTTTATTTATCATTTGATGTATTTATTATTTGATGTATTTATTAATTAATTGAATAAATGTTAATTGAATTGAATTGAATATAACATTTTATATAATAAATCAGTTAAATATATAATTTTAGTATATTTTTAACCTAAATATTATACTGTATGTTTATAAATTACAACTATGTTACAATATACGTACAAACCAGACAAACCGGATAAATAAGATCATGCAGACTCCAAAAAGACTAATACGCCTTTTACACTGCAAGCAAAACTCCGAACACAATCCAGAATTTTGCAATACCTGGGCTAGAAACTCCTGAGTTGTGGTTGGTGTAAACGTCCAAAAATACAACCCAGTTTGCCAAACATCCCGGGATTGATGTGCGGGACGCATTCAGCGTTGGACAATGTGGGCACATTCCAGAATCGCCAGTGTAAACAACACTGAATTTGATTCCAGAGTTAGGTCTTACCTTGCGCCTATTGCAGCTGTGGTCAGGTAGGCCTAAACTTTGCTAGAAACCGGCTAGGCCTAGACACTATTCAAATTAAACCCCATTCACTCCGGTATAGACTTGATATCAAAACTGTTGGTTTAATTCGCATAATTTAAAAACAATCTGCATATACATTTCTTCAACATTGACAATATTGCGCTTTGTCACAATGAGGAACTGAGTGAAATGATGATCACCATCGCAACAAAAATTGAGGGCGGTATTTGAACCCGAGTTCATTGCCGGTGTAAAATGGGAGTAACTCAAGAGCAGCCCAGGCTTTTTCGTTTGATGTAAAAGGGAAATGCATCCAGGATCACTCCGTAATTAACACAATTAATTTTATTCTGCCCTTGGCAGTGTAAAAGGGGTATTAGAGAAGCCATAGTGATTCAATATTTCGTTCTTTATTCGAACATCATCAGGAAAAATTACAGCATTTTAGAATTTACATTTTTATTTACATCTTATTAATTTTTTACCCAATAAAAATACACATTCATTTGTTAAATACTTTTGTTTTTGTTGATATAAAAAAAAATAATGAAACAGCATTATTATTTGGGGGTTTTTTTTCTTGATGAATTGATAATATTCATTTTTCATTTATAATATTATGATTTTGTTTGGATTTGTTTTGTTTTAGGTGCTCCAGTAAAGCCAGACATCCAGGAAGATGATGAAGTGAATCCTGAGGATATGACAGAGTCTCCTTTCCCAACACTGGAGGAGGCAGCCATCGCTGCCACAGGTATCAAACAACCTAAAGGTAGGTAGAGAATAATGCCGAAGCACCTCTTTCAATCTTAGAAGACATACGATACTAGGAAATTGTTTGTATTTGTATATAAAGCAACCATACTTTACAGGATGTTTTATCAATCTAATATTTAATGGCACTGTAGCCTGGTGGTTAAGATGCTTGCTTTCCAATCTTAGTGTCATGGGTTCTAAACCTTGTCATGGCAGGTTACTTTCTGGGAGGTTACTTCTTGCTCGCAAGAGTGCGGAAATCTTCTAATTTCCAGGAGATTTCTACAACTCACAGGAGACTTGGAGTCCTGTTTTATATCATGTTCAACTGTACTCTGCAATTCTAATATATCAATAATCGATAATTTTATCATAAAGTATTATTTACATAAAACTTAGATGTTGATACCAATATTGTCTTATTAACAATACATTGTATATTGTAAACGCAATTTTTTTCATGCACCAGGTGAGGTTACCTTTAACTTCCTGAATGCACCTGCTCCACCACCTGAAGATGACGCACCTGTAGTAAGAATAGCGATTGAGCCATTGTTTGAACTAGACGATAATGGAAAACCAATCGGTATCTGCACACTCTATTTCTTATGATTAATAAAAATGATAATAACAAAGATGATGATGATAATTGTAATGAATGATGATATAGTGAATATAATAATAACAATTATTATAAATGATGATAATGGTGATAATTATAATAGTAACATTGATGATGATAATATTAATAGTATTATATATATGTATAGTAGGTAGGATATTTTTCTTTTGATAAATCAAAATTTAGTAGAATTACTCTTCAACTAGAGGACCATATAACATTTTAATTCCATTTCTTATTCCTTTCTAGAAACTCCAAAGACCGTTTATAAAGCACTCAAAGAAATGGGATTTGACTCATTCCGCGGAGGTCAAGAGAAGGCCATCATGAGAATATTGTCAGGTAACCACATTCTCAATATTCTTGGTATCAAAATATATCGTCTTCATCACTAACATCATAACCGTTGTCATTACCATCATCAACTTCATCAAAAACATGTCTTCATTAACAGCATAACCAACATCAGTATCAACATTACCACCATTATTATCATCATTATCACTATGTTTATCAACACTGTCATAATTATCATCCTCATCATCATTATCACTTTCATCAACAAGATCATCAACAACGTAACCATCATCACCATTATCAACATGGAGGAAGACCATTAACTGTGCAAAGAATTCTTGCCTTATAATAATATATATTTATTTTTATGTTACTTTAGGAGTAAGGAACCTTAACTTTGTTTACAGAGATTTAGTTTACTTTTAGGTTCCTGCCTATTCCCTGAATTGACTGTCATTTTGTTTGTTTATGTTCTTGATTTTGGCAATAAAAAATAAGAACATCACCAAATCATCACCATCATCATCCTTTATCTTCATCATATCAGTCAAAAATAAAATATGTAAAATGTCTTATATTCTCTCTTTTGTCACTAGGTCTTTCAACTTTAGTTGTGCTATCCACCGGAGCTGGTAAATCTCTTTGTTACCAACTACCTGCGTACTTGTATTCTAAGCGATCCCATTGCATCACCTTAGTCATCTCTCCCTTGGTATCTCTCATGGAGGATCAGGTAAGAAAATCATGGCACTGTTGGTTAGTGCATAGGAATCTTTCCTTCTTATTGTAATGTGTCGTAGGTTCAATTCATGTATAACAACAAAAACGAGTAATGAAACTAAATTACAAGGATGACCCAATTCAAGTAGTAGATTAGTTTACCATCAATAGAGGAAGTACTCAATGCCATGTGATATTAAATCCACCAATCAAATGGCAAGTATCTATTTAGGTGTGTTATGAAACAAGTTAAATGTTTAAAATAATAATATTCAATTTTTTTTTCTCAGGTGATTGGATTGCCCGGTTGTCTCCAAGGAGCCCGTCTCCATAGCAACATGACAAAGCCTCAACGAGAGAAAGTTGTGAAGGAGATAACTGATGGGAACGTCCAGGTTTTGCTTGTATCTCCAGAGGCAGTTGTTGGAGGCGGGGGAGGAGGTGGCTGCCTGCCCCCACTCCATCAGCTTCCCCCTATAGCATTTGCTTGCATTGATGAGGCGCATTGTGTGTCTGAATGGTCCCATAACTTCCGGCCGTCTTACCTCATGGTCTGCAAGGTGAGGGGGAACATACATAATTTTTCTGACTTGCATATTTTGGCATGGGGCCCAAGATTTGCCAATGGGCAATATATCCTTGGCTGCAATATTACAGATTGAATATTGTAATTGAATTATACATCAGCAATCATTGAAAATGCAAAGAAATAAAAAGCACATCAAAACAGTCAGTCAATAGCCAATAATTTTAAAACAGTCATACTTTATGAAAATTCTGTGTGTGTATTAGATTATCCATTAATGAGGAAGGTAATGTTTAAATATTTGAATATTTTTTCTTTCAAAAAGGTTATTCGTGAAAGGTTTGGTGTACAATGCCTTCTGGGATTGACGGCCACTGCTACCATGTCAACAGCAATGAGTGTAGTGAGCCACCTAGGTATTGATGAGGATGCTGTTGTGAGGGGCAGGTCCGTTCCAAACAATCTCAAACTATCTGTTTCGAAAGACGTGAATAGAGACAGGGTGAGTAAATTTGTTTTTGAGCAATCCAGTCTGTGATACAATCCAGAGGAACCTTCAGAATTTCATTTAATATGTATGTTAAATCATAGAGAAAATAGAACTGTTCTATTTTCTCTATGGTTAAATGAATTTCTGAATTTCTTGTATGACTTTTCCTCACTTGCCATCACAAATTTTAAAGTATGCACATAGTAGAGATATTGCCAGTTGCACATTATAAAACACAAATATCTCAAAATTATTTTAAAATTATTACATACTTACTACAAGCTACTGATTGAATGTGTTTGTGCAGTAGTGGCCGTGGGAGAACCCCATCGTTTACATTTTCTCACAATTGCATAATATTAAAACTTAAAGCATTTATCAACCCCATTGCACTTATCTTCCTCTGCTAAAGTCTATTTCAAGCTTTAGTATAATGATATTTTAAAGGTTATTCCTAAAAATTTATGTTACCTTTTTAGGCATTGGTTGAGCTGCTTCAAGGGGATCGGTTCAGTAATTTAGACTCCATTATTGTGTATTGCATTCGGCGTGATCAGACAGAGAAAGTGGCCTCCGTATTGAGAACCTGTCTGCAAGATGCTCAGAGGAAGGATGTACCTGCCATGGATTTAGAAGAAACAGATAAGAAAGATAATGCTGGAGAGATCAATGAAGAGGTGGAGAATAACGAAGAAGCTGAGGATGTGAAGAAAAAGAAGAAAGGAGAGGGAAAGGGAAAGACAAAGAAGGAAAAGAAAATTAAAAAACCAAAAAAGATGACATACAAATGTATGTGGTTTTCATTTTTATAGTTTTGTTATGGAATTTTATCATTCATTTATTAAATTTGTCTATTTTTTATTAGTTTACATATTTTCATTGATTGATTCAAGTAGAATACCTGTCTCTTTGAACTGGCTACTGCCATTGTTACTTTTACTAGGACATCCATAATCCCCACATTGTCATCCTCATTTTCTTTTCACCATGGTTGCACCATGGTTCCTCCATGGTTGCACAAAGACCTATACTGATACACCTTCGAAAAACATTTTTAAAATTATTTTTGTAATATACAATTTTAATGTATAATGGTTTTCTATTCATAAACAGCAACAAAGCTAGCCCCAAATGAACGACCTGAGGTCAATAGTGCCGAGACCTACCATGCTGGGATGAGTGCGTGTCAGCGGAGAAGGGTACAGAATGCATTCATGTCTGGTAGCATCCGCATCGTTGTTGCAACAGTGGCCTTTGGAATGGGACTTGATAAGTCTGATGTCCGTGCAATCATCCACTACAACATGCCCAAGAGCTTTGAGAGCTACGTGCAAGAGATTGGTAGAGCTGGCCGTGATGGGAAACCAGCACATTGCCATCTTTTTCTGGATTCAGAGGTGAGATTTAGAAGATTTTTGCCATTTAAATACCCTTTAATATTTTTATTAGGCTACATACAACTGAATGGCTAGTAAACATCTTCAAGATCTGATATTTTAATTATTATTCATCAACGTTATTAATACTATAATAACTATTTACAGGGAAGAGATCTAAGTGAACTTCGACGCCACACATATGCTAACACGCTGGACAGGTTTACCTTGAAGAAACTTTGTCGTAAAGTCTTCGCATTATGCAGGTGTAAAGAGAAAGAAGAAGCTAGGCAAGTAAGTATATCTTCTGCTATTTTTATTTATTATTTGTACTTTAGTATAATTAAGGAGACCTTAGAAACATTATCTGAGAGTCGAGCTTAGCTCTGAACTTTACTGGCCTGTGAGATTGCAGTGGCGGATTCAAGGCCCCAAGTGGCCCCCAACCCCACCCCCAACAATTTTTTTTTTGAATGGAGAAAAAATTAAATTTAGGTCTGACAGTGCCATATCTGGCCATCTAGAAGTACCATAATCATAAATTTTCTTACCTCATCCCCAACCATGGTGGGGCTGAAGTTTATCTAACAATGGGGGGGGGGGGGCTGAGGTGGTTTGACTCTACTTCTGTGAAAGTCCCTCCGCCCTCCAGGTTCCATCTAGTTTGAATTCTTGGATCGGCCACTGGATCTGATATCTTTTACTTTATGACATTATGTCGTATTATTATATATTATAGTTCATGTCTTTTGATTTTCATTCACCCATACAATGCACTTTGTGTATTTCTAAGGCTGCAAAAGAGGCTTTGGCTTTTGAAGATGATGATGCAGAGTACATGATGATTCCAGATGAGATGTTGATGCAGAAAGAATCACCAGCAGAAGTCATTCCTCAACTGGATCAAATTGATGTTGTAGAAAATACCAGCACATCTGATGCTTTGCAGAATGTCACAAAAGAGCAGACAACAACGGAAGGATCAGAGACTGCAGTTGCACCTAGCCCACGGAAACAGCCTAGCTTCAGGAAACATCGGCTCTGTCCTGGACATGAAAGGGCAATACCGATTGAACAAACTGTGGAATCCTTAGACATCAAAGAAGAAGGTCAGACTTTATCACAACCAAGTCTACAAATATAAGTTTTTACTACAGGGGTTCTTGTGATGATGACAGACCCAAGAGCTCTTTTGGATAAATGTTACCTGTAAATGAATAAATTCTTGATTAATTAGAATAATCTGTTATTGATATTCCAGGTATTGCAACTCTCCTGTGTCACCTTGAACTACACCCTCAACAGTGGGTCTCCAACCTTCCACCAGCTTTGGCAACTTGCAATGTCAGCTGCTATGGAGGTCCAAAACAGCTTCAGACCATGGCCCACAAGTGTCCTGCTCTAGCAGCTGCCATTGCTCTGCATCAGCAAAAAACCGGTAAATCTCTTAGAAACCACAGCAACATTGAGTTCCCTGTGGTGGATGTTGCAAGTGAGATGAACTGGCAGTCTGGTCTTGTAAAGAGAGAACTCAAGAACCTTCAATGGAATGGCAAGTTTTTTTTGGTGTACATCCTCATTCTCTTTTCATTACCCTTCATCAGTCTGTCACAATTAGAATATGCAATATTGATAAATTATTTTGCTATTATAGTTTATTATTTATTGTTATTGATATATTATAGAATAATAATAGAATACTTTTATTACAATCAATATTTTATTTATATTATCATAATTTTGCTTTTCAAACTCTTAGGTAAGTCAAAGACAGGCATCATGGTCGAGCTCTCCGATCTTGGCTTCCACTTCCGATCGCCAGGTGATCTGACTGATGAGGAACTTGATGGTGTTGTCGACTTTCTGTATTCAAAGGTTAAAGCTCAAGAGAAGCGGGAGCTCTTCCAACTGAAGTCTCTATTCCAGGCACTTAACAGGTAAATAAAACTGGTTGTTATAAGTTTATTACTATTTTGATTTGCCATTGTTATTATTATTATAATCTTGATTAATCGTGATTGTTTCAATGGTCGAGTGGTTAAGGCAGGGACGGTACAACCTACAGACGCAATATTGGCACTGGTTAGAGCAGCAGGCTCGTTCATTGTTGTTATGGTCGATTATGAGATGATTAAGCAGATACCCTGGTGTACAACTGTACCAGTTTACCTGGGTAGCACAGACACGAAGGGACCCTTTGGGGTGAAGAAATTCACTAAACATAGTTTACACATCAAGCGCCAGGAGCATCTTGTTTGATTGATACAAATTACATTATTATTTTTATTACAGTATTATTATTCTTGAATTATCCACTAATTAAGTGTGTATCCCTGCTTTTAGCGTATCATGTGACCATTACTGGATGTGCAGTGCTGATGTCGATGAAGAAACCAGCGAGGAACTGAAAACAATCCTAAGAGATTATTTCGATCAGAAGTCGCTTGTTCAGTGGATGGATGATGAGGAAATACAAATTGATGTAAGTAAAATTTCAGCCTGCTTATTCCCCTAGGCATGTAGGCTCACATGGTGATGTGGTGGATAGCTGGAAGAAACAAGGAGAGAAGCCATCCAAAGGCCACATGTCTGAAAGAGATTGTGGTTTGGACGAGTGATAGTCTGATGTTTGAGAGAGTCCCCGTCAGTTCACTGCTAGTGGAGTTAAGAGTAATGAATAACAGGATGACATTATCTCATGCTGATTTTGTTATTTTATTTTACATGATCAGGCCGTTCCAAGGTAAAACAACGTAACTAAACAAAAATCTAAAAGCAGTTACGTTATTTGCCATGAGACGGCCAAATCATTGTTCATGCATTTCATAATCATCGTTCTGTCTTTCAGGATTCTATTGTTGCAAGTGCGGCATCTGTACGTGGATCAGTACGAGCCTTTATCAGTCTCCACCATGACCGCGATTTCTCCGGTCGTGCCATAGCACGTATATTCCATGGAATAGGAAGTCCATGCTACCCGGCAAAAGTATGGGGACGTGACCGTCGTTTCTGGCGTTGCCATCTTGACTTTGATTTCAATCTCTTGATCAAGATAGCAACTGAAGTTGTCTTAAAAATGAGATGATTACTAATTATTCAAAATTATATTTTTGTATTTTTTGTAAAAAAAGAAATGTGTATATTGTGAATTTCCACTTACTGAATTAAGATCAAGATGGTTCCAGTCTCAAATTGCGGGTTCATAGTGTTCTCTCTGCAGGATTTTTAATTATGACAAACTGCACTCCCTAAGCCCCATATTAAAACATAGCTTTTAAAGCATTAAATGGTTCCAATCTGCAATAGTTGTGCAAAAGTATTTGGATGTGAAAGAGATAAATGAGGTTCATATGAAATAGCAATAATGCTTGTGAAAAATGTCAAAAACATACAAATTCTGCAGCCAAGATGCTTCGACGACTGGAAGCCATAAATTGGACCATAAGTTGCTTCATGGCTCGGAAATTAATGGCAATATGATGTGATGTATCATTTCTGATGCCAAAAGAGAATGATAAAGAATTTTGTATAATAAAAAATGCTGATACATATTTTTCAAATATTTTATGTGAACCTGCATTAATGCTGTCACTGTCATGTTAAAATGTAAACATCATTATTGCTGAGATTTACAAATCTACAAAGATTCAAAATAAAACTACAGTACTTGGATGCATTAGAAATTAATTTGTTTTTTAATCATAAACATTTACTTGATTTATGAAGTTGAAGAAAAAAAATCCTTGCCAATATCTCATCATGCTGATATCAGACATATTGCACAAACATTGCAGTGACTATGAGCATGATCATAAACGTATAAAATTATATAATATTAGCCAGAGAATAATCAACATAATTATATAAACACTCATAAAACAGTTAACAGCAATATACTCTCTTATCCAGTAATCACATGTATGTATCACCGTAAAATACAGTCAACATAAAATGGTAAACATCATATTTATAGTTTCATTACAGTTACAGTATTAAGAACCAAATCATATATACTTTGTAATTTCCTGAGTTTTCAAATTAATTATTGTAATTAAAATTTTTATAAATTGTAACATAATTGCATCATTTTGTTTTCTTTAAAAAGAAAAGAATGAAAGCTAAATTTAAGTACTTAAAATATCAGAACATAGGTTGTGTACCCACCACAACTTTGATTTTAAAACTATAGGTCATGACCCAAATTTATGTCACTAAAAAGTTTCTGAGGGTTGCAAAACACATGAAGAATTTTAAACACCACCGTAAAAAAATACCATGATTTGCGAGCTCTAAAATACAGGCCTTGGGTCATTTCAAAATAGGGGATCAAACAGTAGGAACCAATGCTCTACACAATCTGGGTTAGAAGAGATAATTGAAACATGCAGTCATAACTATGACTTAACTTAGTACTGTTAATTCTGAAGTAAAGTTTACAAAACATGGGCTAAGATAATGGCCAATAGTCACAGATCCTTAAAACAACGCTTTATATTGTGTTATACACAGTAGAAACAAAATATTAAATAAAACTAGTTTTATTTCAGAGGCAGATTTTTTGTTAGGGAGTGCTACCTACCCCAGCCCTACTCTATCATAGGAGTATGATTCACAGGTGTGGTTGTTAAATTTATATTTTCAGAGGTCTTCAATAAAAATTAGAATTTAGACCAACTTTGTAGTAGGCTATTATTTCAGTCATATTTTAATAGTTCTTAAGGGGCCAAAGCCTGTTTATTTCTCCCTGCCAATAAAGTTATAATTATTTTTAGTACAGATATTTTAAGACATTTTAACTCTGTAACCGCCCTTTGTTGTTTTTGATTATATTATCAAGGCTTATATAAGTCTAATGGTTCCTTTTGAAGAATTTCAATAATTATAAACAAAAACATATTTATACATAGAATAATTACAAGGCAGTGGCTAGGAATACGTTCCCATTTGCTATCTTGCCAGTGGTGAGTGTTCCTACCTGTTGCCAACCCTTACCGAATAACATATGGTACCGTACCTCTAGACACAATGTAATTAAAAAACGTAACATCAGGACAATCAAGATTCTGATTTCAGGATTTAAGCTTGTTTTTATCAAACATAAATATTCATGATTTACTTCGTAATTACACAATTTCGTTTCTAGATAAATTTCTATATTGGTTTCATAATCTTTGTCATTTACAATAAGATAAAGTATCTAGCAATATTAAATATATATTATTTACTTACACCACTTAAGCAGTACCAAATTGTACCAACACAGCTACAGTCATATACAGACCTTTTTGTGGCAATGATGCTCATTTGCATATCATTTACATACAGGCAACCACAGGAGTACAAAAGCATTTATTGGCAAGGCTTATGTGTAATTGGTTATAGCTCCAGGACAGTATAGTAAGCCTAACATTTGAGATTAAAATTTACAGTAGAGTGGTTTCGCATTACTGTTGTTTTGTTATTTTTACTTGTTTTTTGGTACTGTATTTATATAGCACCCTTTAGGTTTAATACAAAGCATTTGTTTTCCCTGGTCACTGGGTCCACATGCTTAAGTCTTGCTGCCATTTGCGCTGCAGCAGTCAACCTTACCAGGTACCCATTTATACTCCTGGGTGGAGAGAAGCAATGCAGATATAAATGCCCTGCTCAAGGACATCAGCAAAGTGCATAGCAAGAAACCTTGACCTTGAGGTTGGTAAACCAAACCATCCCCGCTGCGCTAAATTGCCAGCGACACAGCATTATGCTGGTAGAATACAATAGTTAGCTTGAAATTGATCACAACTACAAGCTGGGAGTCAATATGATGAGCATCAAATGTTAAAATGTATTGCAACAAGGTGTGTAGCTCCTTTTATCACAGCTTATACACTTCAATATAGAGTAATTATTTGCGTCATACCCAAAACTCCGCAGCCGTGTTAAGAACAGCAAGGGCAGCAACACCAACCGCCGTTGACAGCGCCCACACCGCAACCTTCACAGCTCGACTGCTCTGAGTTCTGAAAGATGGAAAACTGTTGCGTCTACTCTGCTCTCGCATCAGTTGTAGGATGGCATCTGGTCGTTGATGCTCAACAGCCGATTCAAAATCACCGTGCTTGGATATTGTAGTACTGGCAAAGAAATAAAAAATTTATGACTGGGAACATCCTCACACTCTTAAAGGCATTTACTGTAGGCAAAACAGAATGGTTGCAAGGTTGAGACCAATGCTGGTTATGCAGCTGTTTATGTACCAAAAAAACAGATTGCGCCAGCCCCATGGCAAATGTTTGAATCCACAAAAATAAGTAAAAGTAGTTGAAAATCACCTCATATCACCTTATTTTTACCAGCTAACGCCCCCTCACTTTATCATCGATCCCTCCTATTTTATCTTTACACCCCCCCCCCTATAAGCCCTACACCCCTAGATACCCTGCTGGTTACAGCTTGGGATACCTGGACAAAATGTGAATAATTTGGGGGATGGTATAAGATTGCATATCAAAGTTTATAATGCCTTTAATATATGCAAAAAAGGGAGCTAAGACATTATCATGGTTATATACCTGTAATGCACCTCTCATTATACAATATACCTTTGTTTGTACTGAAGTCTGGCCTCCTTTGCCATCTCAGAAGGTGGATATTGCACAAATAAGTCTCCAGCCTTGATTATCAGGTGCTCAAATGGAAGGTCTTGTGGAATTTTGGAAAGAAAGCTGTGTACATACACCATTTCGCAATCTTGCTCAAGCACACCTTTCTCTCGGTAGAGCACAATCTATGCAACAATAATTTCTAATATCAATACTTTATCCAACTCATAATTATCATTTGCTGGTCAAGCATAGATCTAAGCAAGTGGCCAGAGGTTTGCCGAATCACAACTGTACCAGCCATTCTGTGTTGACATGTTGTTCTTTGCTTGTTAGAGAGAACAGGCTCCTGGCCAAAGTTTATCCTCCCATTTTAATTTTAAACTTCACACTATGTTACTGTATTATTAAGATTATATTTGCGATTGTAATCTTGCTCTATGCTATTACATAGCTACTATAGAACTTACTTCAGCCCAATAAATTAAAGAATAACTTACTGCAGCTGCTAAGTAAACTGGCATTAACGGGTGACAAGCTAGGAAGAAGTCGTACAACCGCACAATGCTCTTGTAATCATTTAATACATGACCATACCATGTGATCAACCACGCCAATGCAAAAACGGTTCCAACTTCAGACCTAAAAATTAACAATAGAAGATGTGCATTTTTTTAAATGTAAAGTTCATATTTAGGCTCTGGGAACATGTGGTGGTACTATGTCAGTACACTTTAAGGCAATCCTCTAATCTTTCTGAATTATGTAAAAAATTATTTTTCATAATTAGATCAATATGTCTTACTCCAGAAGGTCTCCAAACTCAGTACCTCTCAAATTATCCATTACCGCTACGCTAACTCACCTCAATTCAATTTGCCTTGCCGAGGCAACACGGATCTATTCTCTTTATAACATAAAGTTTTAGTTTCCAATTAATCAATGCATTACATAGTGGTTTCTGACTGTTATAATATCATAATTTCTCTTATTGTTTTGATTCCTTATTTCTACTTACTTTTGCATGAAGTCGTGCAACACTGGACTCCCTTTACGAATAATTGGGAAGAGATAGTTTAGCATGTGCTTTGTCCTATCCATAGTAGAATCCATGAAATCTCTGCAATAAATACATCTTTATATTAGATTTAAAATATAAATTATGGCAACAAAAAGTCGGTTTTATCATAATTTTGTATATTATAGGATTATTATTAATCGTATCAGAAAAATACTTGCTTTAAAAAAAAATTACCTAAAGTGGTGAATTGATAAAACATCCATAATAGACAGAGCCATGTCCTTTCCAACAGCTAACAGAAATGTCACGCATATATCATGATAACCCTAAGAAATATAAGATATAATAATATAACTATTGTAATATTTATTTTTATTGTTTATTAAATATGTTAATATTTATACTTAGCACATTTATAGTTTTGTTTATAATATTCACTTCTAAATATTGTTTAAAATGAGTTAAATATTAATACAGGTAACTTACTGTATTATAATTTTCAAGTTTCAAAACTATTACCTGGTAATAATGCAACTGCTTATGTCGAATTAACACCTGCACGATTATATTAGTTAACTGTTCTTGAAGCACTTCACGTTGATCATCTTTCATTCCTAAATAATATGGAAAAATATAATTGAACAATTACAATCTAAAGTGGTGAATGAAGATCAGAAACATAGATTATACAGACAACAAACATAGTTTTGTAATCATAAAAAAAATATTTAATTCACATTCTTTACATGTATACCATATATATTTTTAAAAATTATTATAAATTATTGTTTATTCAGTAAAGAAAGGAGTAGGACCTTTGTTTTGCCATTTTTAGATCAGTAAAGTATCACTACTAATTATAATACTATCCAATCCCTTTTCAAAAATGTTTGGACAAGAATTTTCTTTTTTTTAACCCACCTTAAGCAACTTTTTTTTTTTATACCTTGTTTCGCAAACTTACTTTTTTAAAGATTGTTAGGAGAGGGCAGAAATAAAATAAAGATGAAATTTTGTTTTCTTATTTAGCAAATAGTTTGCCAAAAACATCCAGACGGAGGAGAAAATAAAAATAAAATTTTATTAGTGAATGTAAACAGTGTAGTAATGGGATGGTTAAATGCTTTAAATTTGTACAATTAGGAAGAGATATATATCTTATTTTTGGAGATTTCAAGGCAGCGGTGGGCATAATAAAAATAATGAAAAACTATATTTTTTTTTTTCTCAATTTTCCATTCTTTTGTGGGGGCGGGTGCACTAATCGACCAAAAATAAAATGTTATTTAATTATTCGAAATCATCACTATTGATTGGTGGATGGTTCGCTAAAATAAATTTCACTTAAGCTCTGTACACACTATTGTATTTCATGTGACAAATTTGTGTGGCGTGCCCATATATGGGCATGATGATGTCATATTACACCCAAATATGGGCATATCAGTTATTTGATAGTGCGGACAGAGGCTTATAGTACATTTGATCACTTTCAAACCTACCTCTTGGAAACCTTTTTAGAGATCTGTTTACATCAAGAATAACTTGATTGTAATCCCGGTGTTTGGTAATATCAGGGGCTAAACAATAAATGAACAAAATCAAACAATCCATTGTAAATAATAATATATCATTTAATAAAATATTATTATTCTTCATTTCTATAAAACCATATTTAAACATTTACATTTTACAATATACACAGTTAAGACAAATTGAAAAAAAAAAAATCAATGGATAAAAATATTTGGCATTACATACTGGTTTCAAATGACAAACAACTTCATACAGTACCTAGCTTTTTTTTATGTTGATCATGTACATTGATGTTAAGAAGTTTTGGCCAAACTTTACGCCGAACTTCATCATTCAGCAGTCCTCCCTTGCTTATGGCATGTTTACGAAGAGCTGCAATATCAACTGGGTCAGAGTTCAAAGCTTGGTAGATGGCAGCCAACTTAGCTTTCTTTTCAGATTCTGTTTGCACAATAACAAAGATGATTTTATTAAGATACCATAGTAGTGAAAATAAAACAAAAGTAGAGAAAGTAAGGCCATACATGTAGTATTTATAATTTACTAACCTTTCTGTGGTGTAGTAGGTAAATTTGAAGCAGCTTGGGCCTTTGATGATTGAAAATTTGAGGCTTTCATCTTGGCTAGCACCTAGAAATTTAAAAGAAAAACAAGCCTAAATTTAAAGTTAGACCACTACATACCACAGTACATCTATCTATGACAATAATCAGCAAATGAGAAGCTAAAATGACAATGTGAACAAATTCCTAAATAAACCAAATGGCAAAAGAACTGACAAGCATTAACACTTACGATAAGATTTTTCAAATTTCAAATGTGATAAGGCAGGAAACACTCCAAAGCCCCAGAGAAGTCTTTTTTTTTTACCTTGAATTACCTTGATCTAGAGGCATTTGAGGCTTACACGAATGAGAAAACTAAATTGGTGGTCAGACCAGTGTCTCTCTAAGACTTAAATTGGTTGGGGGGTTGTCAATATTACCTCACTGGGAAGTGAATTCCAACCATTTGATGGTTGCAACTTTGCGATGTTCTAGAGCGAGTTTTCCTGATCTTGCCACTATGCCCTCATGTGCTTGAATCTGCCACCAGCACAAAGAATTTGGTTTAGCTTGTCGATACCTTTACAAATTTTGAATATTTGTAACATTGCAGACCTTTTTCCTCTATATTATTATCTATTTTATGTAGGCCTACTTACCTTGGCCTCAATAGTAATATTTTTAATCATTAATACAACAACAAGGTATGTCCTCGTACCATTAATAATATGCCCCTCCCTACGTAGGCCCTAGCCTCTAGCTAGTTAGGCCCTCCCATTCATAATAGTCTATGACACATAGATTTTAATCAGTTTAACCTAACAATGTCCTACCCTCAAGATCAACATCATTTATTTGGCTGACAATCAAGATAATTAAATGACCACGAAGAATATAGCTCTAAAAACTGTTTTTTGTCTAGGCCTCACTCATCGGCAGTTCAGCGCATGCCACGTCAAATGAAGGCGGAACTAAGTGTTTCTTTTTACCCTTATCAACGGCTTGTTGTTGATGAGCCTAGCCTAGGGCCAGGCTCAAGCATACATCGCCTAATTCTCACTCTGCAAAATATGCAACAAACACACATTAAGTACATATGAATATGTACCTCAAATCAATAATTTACGATCAAAATGATCCCATAAATCACACTTCTTCTGTGATGATAAACCGGCTGATAACAATAAAAAAACATGTTGTGAGTAATACAAAATCCCCAGGTCAATGTACTAAAAAGTAGGTCATTCGCACGCATCACTGCACACCAGTGACTTGCGCAGAGCTGGAGATGAAAAGCATACGGCAACCAGAGAATCAGTAAAAGACGATTGATGGCGCTTGTTCTATAGATATTGCATTACCAACTGCAAATCACTGTTGTAGCTAGGCCCGAGAGTGTTGATAAATGGAGTTATATATTGCAAATATGTAAAGTTATGTAGTATTTTGTATGTGTCTGTCAAGTTTTATATTTTGTATATAATATGGCTTTACGAGAAATTAAATTATGTCTTCTTGGGGTAAGTAATTCTATTTTATCTTAGGCCTACGTAGGCCTACACGACTTCGTCCCGGAAAGTTTGTGCTGTCCTCTTCTCGTGCCAGGCTCTATGGATGTCATTGAAATACTAGAGAGGGAATAGAGAGGCCTAGCCTAGGCGTATGTCTAGAAATAATTTCCAAACCGATGCCACACCCACCTCAGAAAAATGTTGACGTTAAATCCTACAAAAAGCGCTTAGGCCTAGCCTAGGCCCTTATGCTATTATTAGATTAAAAAATGTTTAAATAAATTTGCATGTTTAATTTGTATTGTTGTTTATCTTGCCGAATTGGCAAATTCTCCGAGGAATACATTTTATTATAATATAGTCCTAGGCCTATATTGTATAATTTTATATAGGCCTATTGATGTTTTTCTAAGGATGGATTAAAGGGCTTGTGAACGTCAGCGATTTTAATTGCTTTTGTTTAAGTGCCTCATTAATTTTACACAGTTTTCTGTAATTTCAGTTTTGGTACAGTATTTTGATTTACTGTATGTACCAATTATAATGTTGTGATTTTTATGAAAGTCTAAATATAGAAAGAATGTATGAAGCTTAGATGGAGGTTTTTTTTCTTTCGATTTGAAATTAATTCTTTGTTGTGTTTAGCAATTCTTTTTTGTGTTTAGCATATCATACAATATGCCTACTAATTCTATTTTTTGTTATTCACTTTCATTTTTTTTATTTTTGCCATGTTCAGCCCTGTTTAGTTAGTCTGTACCTACAGTAGGCCCTAAGTAGGCTATAATTTTTAACTAGGACTATTACTATGCAGGCTAAAGTCCTACAACATGGTCTCGCTCAACAAGAAGGTGGAAACAAACTGATAGGCCTACATACTGTACACCAGCCACACTATTGAATATTAGCATTTATTTTTTCTTGTAAAAACTTTATAATAGTATTTGAACACTTTTATATTTTGATTACAGTAGTACAGTAATTTAATGATAATTAATATTGTGGATTTCTGGTACTGGTCACATTTTTTAGGTTTCATGTCTTATTTTCTTCGCCAGTAATGGACAGGTAATGGCAAATTTTAACAACGTCCACAGTCTCATCACATAAATTTGATGGTCAGCATTCATTTTAATGTTAATATCCATTGTGCTGTGACTGTGATTGAAGCTAGTTTCATTATAAAATTGACCTGTATGGCCAATAATTGTTACAATAGCTACTGCCAAATTGTCCATTATTTATTACATAATGCACAATTCAAAAGTTTATAAAAAAAATTATTCGCCTCAGCAGTTAGCTCAATGCATACGATTTATTTCATAGACTTGCACCCACTGCCTGTATGCTCAATTAGCTGCTGCCAAAATGTCAATTATATATACAGTAACACACAATTCAAAAGTTTATAAAAAAATTATTTTCCTCAGCAATAATAATAATCTTTTGTCTTCAATAATCTTTTGTCTTTATAATTATTGTTATAACAGATCTAATAGAAGGTTTGTATTTAAGAAGCCTCTCTGCTAATATACAGCTCTAAGGGGAAATTAATTGGGTTAATTCCTAAAGGAAATGTGCCTTTAGCTTTTACTACAGGTATCCAGATTCTTAGTCACTCCAAACCATTGTGATATTACTTTTAGTAATCTATTAAATCATAAAAAAATGATTAATTAATGACAATATTTATAATTTTTAGCTGGTCTACTACAGTACAGTTGTAGAGATATTAAATATCATATACAGTATATACAGTATTGCCAAATGATTGTTTGATCATTTAATGGCTGTTCTTATTCATAATTTATATTCAAATTTTATGAGCAATACTCTAGGGTTAGTACAGTATTTTATAAACTTCAATTAAAATACTGGATTTTTATGCCATATTTTTAAAAGTTGTATTGACATCTTTTTACTTAAATGTTATACAGAATTATTTTTTACATTGATAATACTGTTTACTTAAAACTATGCATATTTCTTTTCTAAATTGTAAATAATAAAAATGATAATATGTATTGTATATTGATAATGTAAAGTATATTTGTAAATGCCACCTAAATTAATAATCTCAAACTAAAATAGCTTGTTTATTTATTTATTATTTTTATATAATTGATCAGTTGTTTTTAAAATTTGTAAATTAAATGCTATTATATTTTTGATATTTTTTTTACTGAAATTATATTAATTATTAATTATGTTACAATTATATATTTTGTCATTAATTAATACTATACAGTAGTTAAAAAATGTGATTTTTTTAAAAGTTTCAACTTTTTGTAGTTTAATGAATGTATAATGTAAATATCATGCAATTCAGCTGATGCTGATGATAAAATTGAATTGAATTCAGTTGAAATTGAAAAGCCAAATTTAATTATAAAACTTCTTTGTGAAAACTTGTATATAGTAGAATTTATAATTTATTTAGATATGATCTTCTTGTGTATGAGACAGGCAGCACCAAGCATAAGAAACTACTGTACAGCAATTAATACTGTACATAAGAAATAGGATGAGAGATATTTATTTTTAGTAGCATATTTTTATTCTATGTTCAAGTGATATTATGTTTTCAAATGTTATTTTTCTGACAATTATTTTTTTTTATAGTGACAGTTATAAAAGAATTTAAATGTAATCAGTGTGATACTGTATACTGTAGAAGTGCATTTGCCCTTTGCAAGGGACAACTGAAAGCAAAGTTATTGACATCACACTATAGTCCTAATAGGATGGAGGTTATTATTAGCAGCGCCTGGCTACGTATTGGTACGGACTGTTCTGTAGCCTAGATTGCGGTCCACCAACGACTTATCATGAGACAGGATGTTACTGTAGCCCATCATGTCAAGTAATACTCGTAGACAAAAATTCAGTCAAAAACGGGAAGGCCTGTACTATTAAATCTGCTGATTAATTAAGACCTTCATTGGTCAGGAGACCCTTCTATGACGTAGACTACTGTGAAATGACCTTGATTCTAAAAAAATATTATTTTGATTAAGTCTTAATCATTGCAGCTCTTGCCAAAATATTTAGTGTCAAAGGAGTAAAAGGAGTATTTTTTTTATTGTTTCAGTTAATATTTACATACAGATTGTACTTACAAATTAGCACATAAAGAAATAGGCAGTTTTTGTTTTAAGAGTTAAGTAGACAAATCAACATAATTAAAACATAAGCATTTAAAGTATCTCATTATTTTTTTAGGTTATACTGTAGACACACTACAGGAGTAAATATGCCAAAGGGTTGCTTGAAAGGAGGATAAATAATAATTAAACATGTTTTAAACATTATTTTTCTAAATATGAAGTATAGGTGTAATAGTAAAAAATATATTGAAAAGTAGAAAACAAATTAAGATAAAAAGACAGTGATTTAAAAGTAAAATTGTTTAAATTAATGAAATTTATCATTGTTGAATTACAAGGTCTATATTTAAAATATCCAAACTGTCAAATACTGTATGTTTTCTGATCAATGTTAATTTTAATGTTAAAAACATATACTTATAGTAGTTCATCTGGAAAATGATTTTAAAAAATCTTTCCAACAGTTTAATAAGAATGTAATGGCTTTTCCAGTTGTTTTTTTTTTTTTTTTTTTTTTTTGTAAGATCAGGTCTAAGTGAAATCCTTTGTGGTTGTTTATTTATAGTGGTATTTCCGGTTTCATTTGGTTTTCGCCTACTCTACAGTATTGTCAAATCATTCTGTATTGGATTTTGTTAGTTAACTTGTTCATATTGAAAGACCAAGTTCTTCAGTAAAGAATGTTAGAGAATTGTGTTTTAACCCCTTTCTCTCCTTTCCCTTCCCCCACAAAAAAAAAAAAATAAAAAATTATCCTTAAACATAATTATAGTAGTTACCAAGGTGTGATTTTTTTTTTTTTTTTTTCAAATTGAATACAAAATTTTGACATGCAGATCATACAGGCTATGTTCTCACACGGCAGCTAACTGTTAGCAGGATCGGGATCGTGCTAATCTTTAGCTCCCATGCGTCCATACGAGAAGATCCCGATCCGGATACCAAGAATATGATAATCGAATAACTGGCCAATAAGAAACTGAAAATTGTAAACACGTACGTGTGATTGGTTGATGATAGAAACGCGCTCAACGTGCTAACCGATAGCGGTATCCGGATACCGCTAACGGTTAGCGCTAACCGATCGGGCGTTCTCACACAGGTGCTAACGTGTAGCGCTAACGGTTAGCTCCCAATCCGGATACTAGGGCTCTTGTGAGAACAAGGCTACAGTGTCTATACTGCCAGAAATGTAAAATAATGAACAATTCATTCAGATTTTTGGCTACTGTACTGTAATTGGTGTCAAGCATTTGCACCAGGAAGTTAGGACCAGTTATGTTGTCCCTTGGTTATTAACACTGTAAGTTAACCCTTCACTGCACAGTAGTTGGTAGTACCGTCAGGAAAAAGTTGGTCCGGGGCCTGTTGGTCAGGGGCCCGCACCAATTTTGGCGTGACAGTACTGTATTATTGTAATTACAGTATAAAATTAACAAAAAAAACACATGCTAATTTAGTGCCATCTGTTGTCTAGCTATAGTGTAATTTTATTCAAGTGAAACATACTGTAGAAATGTTTTGTTCCAAGTCCAAAGTGATTTAAAATAATTTTGTTTAGATTAATGAAATTTTATCATTTTTGAATTGCAAGGCTTACTGTATTCAAAATATACAAATAGACAAATATGTTTTAAACTGATCGATGTTACTCACCGGTCCGCGCGTTAAACTGAGGTTACCGCTATTCAGCGTTTAACGCTTCGTGTATGCACCTCTCAGAAAAGGCTTTTTGTTGACACTATTAAAACACACTCAAATCATATAGGAAATATCCTCTCTGCTTAAATACTGTACACAGTGGTGTAAGTTATTATATTGGGTTTTCGGAAAAGGTTCAATACAAAGAAAAATATATACATTAATAAATAAAAAACAAAAAATCGTAAAATTTAAAAAATAATTAAAATTGAATACCAAGATGCGTCCTTATTTCCTTAGAACACATAGCTATCCGACCGCGCTATCCATGAAAGTGTCCTATTAGTGGTAATTCATGGCCGTAATGTAGTCCTTGCTGAAGCCCCTGTTTTGTTTTGTAGGTATAGTGGGAAACTCTGGTGTCCAACTTAAAAAAGGGTGATGAACTTTTGTTGTAAATCACCTCTAGTTTTAATGTGTACCAAACTTCCTGCATGTCTGTTCAAATCTAGCAATGCTGGATGCTTTTGAAGTTCTGGTAACAAGAACAATAGCAGGCTAGCACTTTACAGTGCAGTAGTTAATTGCTTATTTCTCTGAATTCATGAAGAAGGTCATTATCTGTAAAATGATTTATGAGAATTAATATTACAATGAATTGCTTTATATCAGTTTTTTTTAAAGTTCAGGTCTTTTACCAGTTTTTATAAAGTTCTGGTTTTAAAGGAAATCCTTGTGGTTGTTTATTGATACAGTAGGTGGTATGTCCGGTTTCATTTGGTTTTCGCTTCTCTTTTTGTTAAATTATTCTGTATTCAAAGTTCATCAGTATAGAATGGTAGAGGTAACCCTCTCTCTCCTCCCCCATCTCCCCAAAAAAATTTATCCTCAAACATAATTATTACAGTACTGTACTTACAGTAGTTACCTGTACCAAAGTGTGATTCCCCCTTCCCCAGCCCAACAAATTGAATACAAAATGTTGACTATGCATGCAGATGTGTGACATATTGTGCCTATACTGTTGACACAGAAAGTTTAAATAATTGGTTCTTTGTAATCTTTAGTATTGTGTCAAAGCTTTTGCATTTCAAGTCCACATGCTAATGACAATCTGGGGATATGCAGATCAATCTTGGATTGTTTGATTCCGATGTTAATTGATTCCGATTTGTCAAAAGAATTGATATCTATTGAACAATTATTGACAATAACAAGGTTATCTACCTACCGATACAGAGTAGGAAACAGCTGAGAAAGGTCAACAGGAAGTTAGGACCGGTTATTTTGACCCTTGGCTATTGATAAATTAACACTTCACTACACAGTATTTGGTAGTACTTACATTATAAAATTAAACACTGCTGATTTTATAGTTTAGTGTTATTTTTATTCAAATCAGATGTAGTTCAGATTTCAATTCAAACTGTTTTATTCGTTATTAATGTTGTTTATACTGCTAGATAGATTGAAACCAATGTTGATAATACTATTATTAATAGGGAATTGTTGAACACTATCTGTACAGGGGTCCCAAGTCTCCCTCGAGTTTACAGTCCCTAATGTCCAGGAAATTGGCAAAGTCTCCCCCACTCTTGCGAGCAAGTAAACATTATACGGATAATCTATACATGGAGGAATTAGTTTAGTTTATATTAACACCCATCTTCTGCAACAATCATAGGGTACTGTATTGCATGTTTTTACTAATGTACTGTAAAACCTTGAATTGAAGCTCTGGGCTTCTTTTCTTTTTTTTTGAAAATTTTTTTTTTTTTTTTATTTTTTTTTGAAAATTTTTTTTTTTTTTTTTTTTTTTGCAAACTTTGAATTGGCTTCTGTCACAAGGCCGCTTTTGCAAAGTAAAGATGGGGGCTCTTTTTTAAAATGAATGCTGCAAATTTTGGGAATTAGCATAAAACAATAAATAGGGCCACTGTAACATCAATCTGTGTCATGGAATGTATTTATTAACCAGTGTTAAATCACCTAAACTAGGCCTACTGTATAAACCAGGCATGTTTTTAAATCACCTAAACTATGTAGGCCTACAGTATAAACCAGGCATGTTTTTGATTTATTTTGTTTATTGAAATTCATGTACAGTGTATGTACTGTACTACTGTATCTAAAAAAAGCCAATGCTATCTTGAAAAAAAGCCTATGGGCTTCTTTGTGAGGTTAATTTTGCAAACTTAAGAGGTGAGCTTCAATTCGAGATTCTCGAGATTAAACCCATTGGGCTTCAATTTAAGGTTTCACTGTATTACAGTACTGGCATTAATTTCTCCTTAAAGATTTTGGGTATCACCACACGCAGAATCTTGATAGAGACTTGTAACACTAGTTAATTTAGAAACCTGTCTGATCCTTTCTTCTGGCCCTTTGACTTAATCAAAATACCAAACCTATGAATGATGAAAGTGTCTATATAAAGTTTGATATACTTACTGTATTTGTTCAAACAACCATATCTGCAGTACCTGGTCAGTTTTGACCTCTAAACTGGGCCAAGCAGCCTGTGTAACCTTCTCATTAGTAGAATTATCCAAGCCACTTGGTAATTTTCTCTTTCCGAATTATCCCATGAAAGAATAACCAGGCAGTTTTCTTAGAGCAGAAATTGTGAGTTGCGGTAATATGCGTAATTGCAAATTTCATCAAACATTTTGTGTCTCCAAACGTTTAATATACGGACTTGTACACAATAGAATGTCAATTAGATTTGATCAAATTTGAATTTTTGTTTGTGTTTACGATGTCCATCTAATTTTTTGCAGGATTCGGGAGTGGGAAAGTCTAGTATAGTTCAACGTTTTGTTTCAGACCAATACACTGAAAGTATTCCTCCTACGATAGGGTAAGTACCACTCATTTTATGCCTTTCACAATCACATTCTATGGCAAATACTGTACATTCAGAAGGAACGATATTCTAACTCAGATTTTGAGTTTGATTTCAAGGCTTTAAGTATTGGGGTTGTTTTAGTTCTGATGTTCCAATTTTCTGTGGTCCCAAATTACAGTAACAAATGTCTTTTACCTTTATTATTCTAAGTAGACACCAAAGCTGCTAAAAACCATGGAAACATCAGTCCCAAAAGTGGTCTTTAATTGGAGGGAGTCTAGTGTACTATAAACCACTGCCTACAGGTCTTAGAGTCATGTGTATAATTTATACTCCACTCAAAACTACAACATCCAATATGAGAAAAGTATACAGCATGATACTGCATTAAGAAGATGTAATAAACTTTATTGCTCCAAGAAAGGAAATTCGGTACTCAAATTAATATATAAAATTGACAGTAAAAATATTAAAACAGTGATTAAATGCAGTAAAATACAGTAATTTACAATATGGAAGAGATATCAAACAACTGCTATTAAAACATTGCAACAATCACCAAAGAAACAACAGCAAAAAAAGGGGAAAAAACTAAGACTATAACAATATTATTTTGAAGTTATTACAAAATTGTTTTATTTATTATTATTAAATGGCATAATAAAATGATGTACAGTAATGTAGACTCACCTGGCTTCAAAGAATGCAAGTTATCATTGCCTGTTAAATTCTTTCCTGGATGTGCTTTTTGTCAGAAATGAAAGCATCCATCCATGGCAATTGAAAAATATTTATAGCATATAGTACTCCTCCTTCCTTGAACCCCTGTCGCTCACTGTCCCACCTGTTATTCTCTCAGCCTTGAGTACAACATTCAAGCACGTAAATAACGACATCAATCAATTAAACTTAATTACATATCATGTGTACAATATGTACATTTGTCGGATTTTTTAATAATTTGTGGTTTTCATTAAATTATTTTTTTTTCCAGAGCTTCTTTTATGTCGAAAACATTAATGGTAGATGACAAATCATACAAATTTCAAATATGGGATACAGCTGGACAAGAAAAGGTTTTTATATTTTTTCATTCTTATTATAATTACTAAAGCCCTGTCAAGACTATCACATTTTATTTGACAAAAACATGTGACATGCCTAAATATGGTCATGATGACATCACATCTTGACCGTATATGGGCAAATCATGACTATATATGGGCATACAAGAGTTTGTCAAAAAAAATTTGATAGTAGGCCCTATGGATAGTGCTTAATATTTAGATTATGAAAGCTGTTTTTAATGTATCATTTTCAATTGTTTAGTATTTAGTTTGTGAAAAACACTACTGTACCTCATTAATGTATTATTTTCAATCATGTTTTCATTGCTTAATATTTAGTTTGTAAAAAACAGTTCGCTGTTTTAATGTATCGTTTTTAGTAATGTATTCATTGTTTTATTTTATTGCCTTAGTATCGTGGTCTAGCACCGATGTACTACCGAGGGGCCTCAGCAGCAATAGTAGCTTATGACATCACAAGTCAGGTGAGAATAAATCTAATTCCCAAGAGATTACATGGGGCGCATCGCATGCTAAATGTTACATGGACTTCACATTCAGATATTCTCACCATTTGAGAATTCACACACATCCTTGCTACTGGATAAATATCTTGTGATTTCTGTTTTTTCTTGCATGAATATTACACGGAACACATGCTGATCTTGTATGTTTAGGCATTCACACGGATGCAATTAAGCAGAAGACGTGTGCTAAAATTTCTCTAGCAAGGGACTCTGGACATGTGTAACATTTTTTCCTCCATGAATCAAGTCAGAGTATTTCCTTGAAACAGAATCCTATCTCGAAGGGTACTCCCCTGAACTAGAGAGTGTCCTTTAAAAGAGATGATTTGCACATGAAAGTTGTTTGCATTGAACATGTGCTGCGTGTAGAGAATGCCTAGTTGAATTTCAAACTCTATTTCAAGATATATTTTAGGGCGCCCCCTATTTTGTGGTAGTACTGTGGTATTTGTTTCATTCCACGCATGCAAAATCATGATAGTCAGTCATGTTGCAAGTCTATAATCTTTGATCAGATGTATGCCATCTATTTAATAGCAATAAAGCAAATGAGTACATAAACATACAAGTAATAATTAATGGTTTTCATCCTTGGTGTAAGTTAAAATCTCCTAAAAATTTGGAAATTAGATAAATTTTTATTCTTGCCTTTTCCTTTTTTTCCTTTTTAACATATTCTTTATTCCGCTACCGCTTTGCCAATAATCATGAAAGCTTAACTATCAGTTTAAATTTTAGCCAAACACGGTTAATGATGCACCTATAGACTTCATATACCAACATCACTACTGATTTTGTGTAATTTGTTGGATTATATTTATCTGTTACAGATTTCTTATGAAAAAGTGAAAGATTGGATACAGGAATTGCACCAACATGGCCCAGAGAATATCGTCATAGCAATAGCTGGTAATAAATGCGATATGGATGATCTTCGTGAAGTAGAGACGAAAACCGCAGAAACTTATGCAAATGATATAGGAGCAATTTTTATAGAAACTAGTGCAAAAACTGCAGAAAATGTTAAGGAATTATTTAAGGAAATAAGTAAGTGTAATTTAAATATCAATTTAAATACATGTTTCACAATTCCCATAGATCTAAGTGCTTTTCTTACAACACTAAAAATGTGACACCTGTTGTCTCCTAAAAGCTCTATCAAAGACCTCAGCTCCTGATTGGTCAATAGTTTAGTTTGATTGACACATTGGAGAGGTCTATTATGAAGCAAAATCATTTGTGAATTCCCATCATCATTCTTCCTTAATAAGTCTATCAAAGAGCCTTTTTACCTGCATTCTAATTGGTCAATATTTCAGTTTGATTGAAACATTGGAGATGTCCTTTATAAATCAACATCGTGTGTGATTTTTCTTCATCACTCTCCCTAATATCTCTATCAAAGAGACTTGTTACCTGCGTTCTGATTGGCCAATAGTTTGGTTTGATTGACACATTGGAGATGTCCATTATAGTTCAACATTGTGTGTGATTTTTCATCACTCACCCTAACTTCTATTAAAGAACTTAGTCACCTAAGTTCTGAGTGGTCAATATTTTGGAGAGGTCCATTATTTTTTACTGAATCATTTCATTTTAGGTACACGTTTACCTCCAGAGGTCCTCCTACCACAGTATTCAGACTCCATCAGTCTCCGAAGACAACCAGTCCAAAAAAAGAAGCGATGCTGTTCTGGAGGATTGCCATCCTCTTCATCAACCTCATCATAGCGTCTATGGTAACCGTCTCCATCATCTGGGAATCTGTGATGATAGTTCCCATGAGCAAAGACATATGTAAAGTGTTAATGACCTTTCACTAAATGGTCTTGAGAAATCATGGTGATGTCTTCCCATAGGATGGAGATACTCTGTATTGTCGTTAGAGGGACTAATTCCACAATGAGAGGCTACAATTAATATATTTCTAATGAATTATGATCATCATAATAAAAAGTTTGTGATGGTTGGTAATAACAAAATATATTACTACACCAAGTATAAAAATACTTTTAAAGAATACAGGGATAAATGACATTAATTACACATATGTAATGATTGAAAAATTAATAAAAATATATTGTAGAACCTATTATTAATAAGAGAAGACTATATATATATTATTGACAAATACAGTAATATGAAGAGAATATATATTACATAAAATAATTAGAGAAAATGCAATAATTCTTGTGATACTGTACAAGCAAGAAGTAAATTACCACGTCATATGAAAAAACAAATTATCAAAAATGTACACGGATATCAGCATATCGTCTGCAGGGAATTTATTATATGTTGTTGTTGATTATGGGCACTGACTGTGTATTCAGCAATCCCAAAAATCTAATTAATGTACACAATATCTCACGTCCACTAAATTCAGTATATCTCTGGGCTACATAAATGATTGTAGACATGTCTGTACACTACATATTTAGTATATACATACAAACATTTAAAATCTACTGTAGGCCTAAATTTTAGGCATATTCAGATTATATTGAAGTAGAGCGGTGGTCTGGTAGTTAAAGTGCTGGCCTTCCAATAGCAAGATCCCAGGTTCAAATCCCTTAAGCTACCAGGTGCGAACCTGGCAAAAAAAATTCCCCCTTGTCCCCAACCCTCTTTCAAAAACTTGCTTATATAGAACTTTATGAGTGGAATATTGATAGTCCAAATGATCAGTTTAGCTGGGAGGTTGGGGGTATTATACTGTACAACCCTCAGTGAATATGATGTGAAGGGAGGTGGGTAATTAAGTTTAAATTTGTACATAAGGAAGTAAAGTATAATAAGTAGAAACTGCATGGAAAAAAAGATATTTTAATTTGATATCAAGAATGAAATAAATACATTTTCTGTGCATGAAAGTCACTATAGAGGGAGACATACTGTAATTTCCTGTTAGTATAATCAATCCGGCTCGTCTCTAAAAATTGTATTCATAAAATAAACTCAACCAAATAAATACATTAAAGAAGTTAAAATAAGTACAGTACAGTGATTTATTTTATGTTAATCTGAAACAAACATGATTTTTTAAACATGCAGTACTTCGATTTTTTGTTGTACCTTGTTTCAAACATTTAATAAGCATTACTGTACCAAGATAATATATTAATGCTTGCGGTACACCACATCGAAAGTTCTGAATAGAACTGTTGCTGGTTGCGAATGTCTTGACATTTCTATTGAGTTGCTTCATTCGTCTTCAGGAGAATAATATCTGCAGAAAATTCCGTCGAAATTCCAAATCGAAACATCAAGACATTCTCAACCAACAATAGTTCTTTTCAGAACTATGTACGTGGTGTACCGCAAGCATTAATATATATTGTTACTTCGCCATTCAAACCTTCAAACTATACCAAGATAAATATCATCATAAGGTCTAAGAATATTTAATTATTCAGCATTATACACATCTCAAAAATTTATATTTAATGCAAATCTCTATATAGATATTAGATTTTTTATTCATGATCATCATCAGAATTATAATCATCATCTATTATGCATAAAAGGTTTTATATTTTTTACAGTATATATTTGTAAAATGATGAGTTAGAGTTTGATCCTCAAACCAGGACACAAATACAGTATTTAGGCTTTTTGTAATAATTAGATGCTAATAAGCTGTATTCATGTTGCAAACTCTTGGTTGTTGTTTAATGTAGAAATTGTTGACATTCACACAACAATTGCATGAGATTGTTTTACTGTACAAAAAAACATACTATCACCCAGTATGGGACCTTTAACTGCAACCCATCTCTGAAGTCAGGATGATCCCAGTAACTTAGGGAGCTTTAAATTTGGGATGACTTAAAATGTAGACTTTAATTACATCATGATAATTTATGTATGCATGTCTGAATGCTCTGTGTTGCATCCACTCCTGAAATCTGAAACAGTATTCGACAGAATCTACATTCAGGCTAGGACGTGGACTGTACTGTATTAAACATTGGTGCTTCAGTCTTCGCGTTTGTGACGTCTCTGCATACGCATCTTCAAAAATCTTGTTTTAAGCTCTGGGCACACTATCAAATTTTCTTTGACAAAACTCTGTTGTATGCCCATATATAGTCATGATGTGCCCATATATAGTCATGATGTGCCTATATATGGTCATGATGTGATGTCATCATGACCATATTTAGGCATGTCACATGTTTTTGTCAAATAAAATTTGATAATCTGGTCCCTTATGGTTCTCAATCAAAAGCTCCCTTTCATTAGTTAGAGCATTTCCCTGACTAGGTAAATTCTTGCATAGTTCAATACAATCACTGTGATTACCCAATTTGAACAACATTGTAATAATAATTAATTCATTTTAATTTAATAATAACGTCTTTCTTTTTATTATGCATAGTGCCAAGGTCTCTAACCAATTTGTAATTATTTTTTATGTCTTTAATTATTATGATTATCATTGTTCCTGAATCCTTATTGTTTATGAATATAATTTCCATTTCATATTCATTGATTTTTGTACTAACAGTTATTACTGTTTGATTTTTTTATGATTTTGTGTTTCCAATGAGCTGTTTTATAAATGATTCAGATTAATCTTTATAATTTATTCAATTTTATAATTATTATTGTCTTTCATTGTTATCAAATATCAATTATAGTAAATTGTATTCTTATATAAATTTATGTTTGTATTGTAATTGAATTTCCAAAATTTGCTATATATGGCTGCATTATATGTTGCTTAGACAAGATTCTATATTCTGTGTTTGTTAAATATATAATTTTATGAAATTTAATTTCAATTTATTATTGTAATATATAATCTTACATTTGTCAAAAATGATTACATGTTGCCAAGATTTTCTTGCTATTAAATAGACAGTACTAGAAATAACTACTTATGATTGTGATGAAGTGGTAGCTTGGTGGCTACAATGCTTGCCTTCTAGTCACAGGGTCCTGGGTTCAAATCCTCTCATAGTTTTAGTAAGACTACAGTTCATAATGAGAGTTAATTAGGTCAGGCACATAATTTGTTGACCACACTGCAGGGGTCCCAATTGGAGAGATGTATCTTCGAGGAGATCTGGTGTAGCCAGCGGGTACCTAGTTAGTTGGATGTTATGAACAGTTTGGTTTCCCAAACTCGATGCCGGGGTTTAAATCCCTTGCTGTGCATTTCACTTGCATCCTTGAGCAAGACGAGTGCCTTGTATCCCAATTCTTTGATGCCCTTGTGAACAGGCGTGCTGTATAAATTCCATTATTCTTAATAATGCTAATGCTTGTGTTCTTTAATGTCAGTTCCTGAAATCAAAGTGAATTCATTTTTTGTTCATACTCAGTGTTAAGATGCTTAATAAAAAAAAAAAACTATAATGCTTTGTAATCAGATTAATATCAGTTGTTTTAAATTGTACTAAAAGTGACATATTTTTCTAATGAACTTGTCAATCCTACTTAACAACACAATTTATAAAGTATGATCAGGGAACATTTAACTGTTCCCTGGTATGATCTTCCATCCTGATAAGTGTAACCCAAATCATGATAACAATTAAGATTTACTTTGGGCATGCCATATCAATTTACTTAGCGAAACTAACACAAATATGCCAACTTGATCACCTGTTTTAAACATGGTATAAAATATATTTTTCCACGTGTAAAGTAAAACAGTACATCTTTAATCAGTTGTGTTTTGGAACCGGCGTCAGATCACCTGCAAACAATAGTTTGAATTAACCAAGCAATAAAATGTAAATACAAAGAATCGAGCAACAATAATAAACATCCATATGTTTAATTTTATGAGTGTTGATTTCATTTATTTAGTGTTCAATCGTGAAGGAGTATTATATGTATGTTCGAAAACTGGTTATATATTTGGCTCTATAACCTTCTCGTTAACCCCCTGACATCGTGCATTATACTGTGCTTTACCACATAGTTCAGTGCCCCGCGATAAAGTGTATAGATCCCGGTATAGGAATAGATATTTTACAAGCCCTCTCCCTGAAAGGAAAACAAATCGTGGAGTAAATTGTATGCAATTTTTACAGAATGTGACACTCTAAAATCGATTAAATAAACCTTTCAAGTCCCAAAATTGTCGGGGTTTCCTTGGACTTCGTCCTGAGACCCCACTTATCCTATCGTCGGAGAAATCAATCTGTCTTTCCGTTGGTAACATCGGTCTGCCACCCTCTCTCCCCCTCCCCCCACAAGTCGAAATAATGCTGGCGGCCAAGATTGGCACACAAGGGATCCAATATGCTCGACGCCACATACTCCTCAATGTGTGCAGGCCATATGGTTTTATATTGATGTTAAACATAGCCAACCATAATACAGGTTTGGTTTGAATTCGTCTTATGCCTTATGGATAATACCATTATTCACCATTTTTCCCTCGATTTATCGTTATTCCAGTAGTAATAGCTCCATATAATTATAAAGTTTCTACTTTTCAGTCAGGAGAGGGCGCACTTCTAGATATCAGTTTCTGTTACTCGCAATGTGATCGCAATAGCGCATTATTTAGTACCCCAATGCACTAAAGCAACGGCGAAAGAAAGTATGGACAAAAGATCAAACCAAATTATTAAATAACATATAGTCCAGAAACCAGTTAAAAAATAAGAAAGTATTTGGGGCAGCATGCATTGATGCAATGCCTTGAGTTGGTGAAATGTTGCGCACAATGCGCGTTCGCGTGCGTACAGTTAAAATAACGCGTAGTTTCTTCGTAACAACATGGCAATATTATGTAGTACACGATGGAGAAGCTTGCTTCTCTAGTTACGAAATAGATTAAGAAAGCCTGCAGACATTTGATTACTTTCACCGACTCCAATTAGTGACGATGATTATAGCTGTCAGCAACATGCGACGTAGTAGATGATCTATAGGCCCAAATACGATTAACAAAATCAACCATCATGAGTAGTTCGGGAAGAGAGCAGCTGCGGATGATGGGCTTGAATGTAACCGCAAGAGATCCAACTATGGATGCCCGTACAGTACATTCGGTTAATGTTAATAACAAGAAAGTTCGCGTTAAACACGATCAAATGACCAGGTAAGAAGTTGAATAATCAATTTATTTTTAGGCCGATACAGTAGTTAAACAAATTTATGAAAATATGATTTCTTGAGTAATTCAGTTAAGGTTTTATAAAAACGATGTCTGTGTGACAAGCTAGCTAGGCAGGCTAGGAGGACATGGCTCTGTTTCGGATCGTCTGCAAGAAAGTGCTGTACTGTAATTGAATATCTTCGCCTATATAAATCATCATGATGCCCAAGTTTGTTTATTAATAATAGGCTTAATTTATGTTTATTTCATTGTATAAATGTATATTCAGTCTCAAATCAAGGTTTTTTAAAAATTTTATTATATCATCTTCATATAATTATACTACTTCTAGTAAATTAATACTTTTCCCGTATCTACATATACACATAAACAAATGAGTAGTTGCATGCGTATTCTTTTTTCCATGAATCAATAAATCCCAACAAGAAAGGTCTAGAATCTGTCTCTTATACACATCTAGATGTGTATAAGAGACAGATATAATTATTTACAGCATAATAAGGATATGAGTTCAAGAAGAGTAATCTTCCAGAGTGGTCAGATAATCACGTTCCTGCGGGTAAACTCCATTAGTACTAATTCGCTATTTGAGTTAACTGAGAGGATGAGTCTAAAATCATCTTAAAATTAGATTATTAGCGATCAAGAAATCAAAACTCCACGGATTTTCGGCTAACAAATTAGATACCCATCAGTATACAGTATTACGTCATACTTGATGGGGCATTAGAGAGGAATTATGTATAACAAGTAAGCAATTACCTCTGATAATTTTAAGTCATAAACTGCGTGTTCCTCTTCTTTTCTATGATATGAACTGACCGATGCGTAGTATAATAAACAGGTAAAGGTAAAGTCTATGAGTTCTAAGAAAGCATAGTATTTCTCTTTGGCGTTTTTCGTCAGACTGTCCGATGCTTGGTCGAATGGCATGTCTATCGTGTCTATATAGCGATACCAACAGATAATTTTGTATTTTTCTTGTCATTGTTATTTTAGTTGTTCGCTAAATATAGTAATATCATCTTTATTTAAAAGCTATGGGGTCAAGAAATTAGCGTTCACGGCCCTGTTCCTATCAATCCATTCACCGCCATACACGAAAATCGTATTGTCGAGTTTTTATAACTAAATTGACATGGCTCCTCAGAGTAAAACTCGTGAATGAACTCGATAAGAAGATTAAGGTTTGATAATGCGGCTGATGTCCATGGTGACGAGGACGACAACGATAATACTCGTGATCATAAGCCTTTAACTTATTAATTTTAAAAATACAGTAATGATATCAATAGGCATATTGTGATTATCATCGGTTAAATTATTATTAGTTACAAGTTTGAACGAATAATATTTGTTGTATTGTTATAGCTTTATTGAAAGTAAGCTCGTACACATGACCTCTTTTGATATGATGCCTCTTCTTCATCAACATTTAGATACCTGGATGATTGATCTATGTGCACTTCCCATAATACATATTCCATCACTGTCGTGTATTCATTAAAGTAATTAACTTACGCTATTCACTTATTTAATTATTTAATCCCAGGTAAGCATGCAGTGACGTCTGCTTATCAATATATTAGAGCGTAGAGCAGCCATAGAAAAAAAAACCAAAAAAACTGGTGTTTCCACTGTGTGTTTTGAGTGACGATAGATATCGCCCGGTCCTATTCCAGCAAGCTGCTGTGCCTGTGAAAAAGTGTACCGTCTTTCTTTCAGGGAAATTTAGAAGTCGTTGGTACAGGAGCCCAGCACACGTTTCTTCCTCTTTGGTTAAGCTGCCGATGTCAACATTTTACTCAGACAGGATTAATAATTAATGAGTTGCATTTTGCTTTATTAATGCAGGTTCATAGAAAACGCACAAGATGTGAGTGACCATGCATTTCGGCAAGAGGAAAGGGAACTGGTCCGACAGATAGAAAGATTACAGAGAGATAAGTTGAGCCGTCACCATCTTCCACACCATAGCAGTAACCATCGCTACCAACCCCAGGGTTCAAACGACTTGGTAGGCCTAAACATTACTTAAACAATATTTATTTTGCTATTTATATATTCGTGCACAGGGATCATTAACGGCAGTCTGGGTTAAAATCTGGAAAACCCCTCTAACTTTTAATAAAAGCATTAAAAGAACTTTCAATTAATTTCATATAAAGGGATGAAAAAAATTTTATTAACTTTCAGTAAGCCACAGGTCGAAATAAGTCATTAAATCGAATTGTATTGGAAATTAATTAAAGAACATTGCACGAAGCCCTAAAAAAGAAATGACCGGTATTTTCTGTGCTGTAACTGTTAAGAAGCTATTCTTGTTAACGTATTTACATACAAAGTAATGATGGAAAAAAAAGTAAAACGTAACCGCGCTAGTCTAATTTAATACAATTTTTTAATAAATGATGATGGAACTACTTTAGAGACTAAAGGCCTGTTCACACTATGAAGATAACGATAAAAAGATAAAAAATAATTGTTCATATAGAAAAAATAAATGAGAAGTTTTCACACTAGCACGATTCGATAACGATGTATACGGAAAAAAATATTTTCACAAATCAAATCAAATGACGTCATTATCATAAGAAAACTATAAAATGGTTTTTACTGCTACGATTTTGTCGTTTTCCCATGATCATGACGTCATTTGATTTGATTTGTGAAATTATTTGTTATCGTATACACGATAAATCGTTATCGGCACGTGCTAGTGTGAACACTTTTCTTATTTATTTTATTTTCTATAATGAACAATTGCGTTTTAGCTTTTTATCGTTGATCGTTATCGTCATAGTGTAAACAGGCCTTAGCAGTAAATTTATTTAGCTCTAGCTTTCGTCCACACATTGGAATTCTTCAGGAGGCTTACTGTGTGGACAAAAGCTGGAGCTAATATTATATTACTTACTATTAGTCTCTAAAATGCTGAGTTCTCTTATCATTTATGTTACAACGTAAGCAATTTAAGTATTCTCGAACTATGTATAGAGCTATATTGTACAGATGCGGCCTTCCTCAAAATTCATTACATACGTCTAATTATATTCTTTTCTTGTAACATTAATCAGCAAACGTTTGCTGTACGTGACGACCACAATCAACCCATGTACGTGACGGTTACTGGTGGAGCAGAAAGAGACGCATCAAAGATTAGCGTACACCACGACGGCACTCAATTACATCATCTTGGTAGCCATCACTCTGGTGTCCAGCAACCCGTAGGTTATGGCCACACAGTCAAAGAATGGGCTCACGAAATGGGTATTGAACAAAAGGGTAGAAGAAGAAGGTAAGAAGGGCCAACCAATTTCCTCACAGAGTATCCTTTTAATAAGATTTTTATCTGTTTCCTGTGTAAAAGCGCCTTCTAACTACATTTATATCAAGTATTATTAGACGAGATTGAATGAATAAATGAATATAATTTATTGAATGAGTAAATGAATGAATGAATAAATTAATGGATACTTTAATTAAATAATCAATCATTCACTCAATCAATCGATCAATCAATCAATCAATCAATCAATTAATCAATTTTTAAACTGACATTTTAAATTATATTTCGTTCAAAATATTTATTCTTTTGTTACATACATTTTACACTACATTAGATCTATCTACCTTACCTATTCGTTTTTGCAAGTACATACTTTGTATATTTCTATTCACATAATAGTCTTATCTTCAACCAACCAATCAATCAATCACCTAATACATAAATGTTCGAATTAATAGATACAATAATAATAATAATAATAATAATAATAAGAATAATAATAATAGAGTGCTTATAATGCTATATATATAGGCCTATATATGTATATAATATAGCCTCTATG